ATCAATTTAAAACAGCTATAAAGGCGANAGCTGCAAGCAACACAAGCATTTAAATAAAGTTCATGGTAGGAACATAAATATATCAACTTATATAAACAGCATAAAATTAAATGGGATGTGTCCTCACAATAGGCCTTCTAAAACACCTAAGGTTTCAAGAATTATTAGAGGCCAACCAATTCCTAATCTGTGAGAGAGAAACAGGGAGAGGCCAGGTTGTTTTGGGACTGTACCGAAGGCGCCTATTAATATTGGAAATACTTTTGTTTTCTTTTGCACAGTCATTCTATTTCTATTTGCAGATATTTGTATTTTGTTAACTTCTCCATTCTTTCTCTTCTATTCTGTCGTCTCCAGGTACTGCCACGTCTATTATCCAGACTTTTTTATTTTTCTTATCAACAATTGGTAAGTCTGGAGTGTTATGTGGAGGTGCCTATCTATTCAAATTTATTATTATCTATTAAATTTATATGCCACCCATCTCCCTAATGTATTGATTTTGGGTGGCTTACAGATCATAAAAAATATATAAATGGAAAATCAATTAGAAAATTTAAACTATGCAAAAAAAAGTAGAACCAAGAGATGAATGGCATGAAGATGACGTCTTCTTAGCCAAACAATCATCAGTGAGCACCTTTCTCGCAGCCACAAGCCAACCCACAAAACCAAGTTTTAATACCCTTCCAGTAAGTCAAAAGAATAGGAGCAGTTCTCACCTCCAGTGGTAGAGTGTTCCACAGCACAAAAAAGGCTCTTCTCCTTGACCCTGCCCACCGGAATGTCTTAGTAGACAGGATCCACAACAGGCCTCTTCTGGTAGAACAAGTGGGACAGGCTAATACTATTGGAGTGAGATGATTTCTCAGATAACCTGGATCCACACCAGGAAAAAAAATGTGCAATTTTGGGAAAGGATAAATGGAAATGTTGCTCAGGAATTAGGCTCAAATTTTACATCATCTCATAAAGCATATTGGTTAATTAATTCCATTTAACCACATATAACAAACTCTCCCAATTTTATTGACCCAATATAAAACCTCCAGAACCAAAGTTATTCAATATTCAATATTTAAATATTACAGAGTTCTTAAAATATAAAACATTATGATGGCTTTAGTAGGTACGAGTAACAATCCAATTGAAACTGTAGAATTAAGAGTAAAATGCAAACAAAACAATGCACAAAATATTAGCAATACAGACTACAACAAATTTTAAATTAAATATTGCATGGTGGGTTTCAATAGGGCTTGGTCTCAGATTTTTGGCCTGGGTAGACCTATCAGTTCGAATCCAGATCCCTTTAACTGATGGGGGAGTTGGATTTGCTTGCGATACCTTAACTTTGAGCAGAACTAAAGAAGGAAAAAAGAGTTAACAATAATGGTAAAAGTAATATATGGATCCAAAAAAAAAGAGAGGGAGATCCTGATGACTCTGTAGAAGTTTCTTTCTTCTACGGGAGAGCATTTGGCAGAGAAAAGAAGAGAATTAAAAATAGAAAAATAAAGCAATGCAAGTACAGAAATGCACTTCAAGGGGATTAGGTGATATTTAGGGAGGCACCAGGCTAAAAACAAAAAGAAAGAAGAAGAGGGGTTCAAAAGTTTATTTGTAGTAATGTCCCACTGGACCAGTCAAAAATGAGCTGAAACACAAGGACTTGGAACTAGGCCACCAAAAAAGTGAAGTAAAACCCTGGGTCTCTTTTTCTCATTTCTTGGCTGGAACCAGACTGCTATAATTGGCTTTTGCACTGAAGCTTCTCTTCACGTCTACCCTAGCGGGCCTTCCTAAACCTCCAGAAGGAAATCAGAGGCTTGGTCTTTCCGAGCAGGAAGCAGCTCTGTGTGAGGAAAGATCAGAATATTTCTCTCTGCCTTTCTCTCCTTGCCTTGGACTTTATGGCTTCTCACCGTTTAAGCTTTGCTCCTTTCAGGGTTAGAGTCTCTCTGCATTTCCCTGGATGGGTAAGGAAGATAGAATATAGGGTTCAGGTTTACATGGCTAGGAAAGTCAGGTCAGATAAACATGGGAGCAAAGTGAATCACAAACCACTGACCTGGGGAGACTATAGTTCGGGAAGGAACAAGAAAGGAAGCAAATGTTAATATGCACTGGAATTGGTTTTAGCTCATCAGAACAACTAGGTCTTTTGGAGCAATAAGAGCAGAGTGGGAAGAAAGGCAAAGGGTGGTATCTGTTTGGGAGACTGGCCTGAGAAAACCAAAAAGCAACTGGAAGGAGCTGTTCTACTCAAAGAAGAAAGCAGTAGCCTCCACCCAAACCCTGGGATCTGTTTCAATACTGAGAGAATTTGCTGAGATGACTCCCACCCAAACTGTTCAGATTTTTGTTACAACAGAGCATAGAAACCCATACTCTGCATATGGCTTTCTGGCACCCCAAGGTGTAAAGCTGGCCTTTGACTCCTGTCAATTGTGTGAATTAGTCCTTTCAGTTTTCTTGACAAGATTTTAGAGGTTTTTTGCCCTTGTCTCCTTCCCAGGCTTGCTTCCTGGACTGAAAGAATGTGACTGGCCCAAGGTCACCCAGATGGCTTTTTAACTAAGTTGAGACTAGAACTCATAGCCTCATAGCTTCTAGCCTGATGCTTTAGCCACTATACCAATCTGGCAGTAAAATAATCAACTTACAGTGGTACAAACTCAGGCTGTTACTCTTGTTCCTCTTGAGCTCTTAAAAGACACCCCAAAGCAGTTGTGGGAAGTCAGCCCCCCCCCCAGAGAAAGAAATACCTTTGGGAATATTAAAAGGCAGAATATTATATTTCCCCAAAGGATCTTAAAAGCAGAACCCCCCTCCCCCAAGTCTCTCTGCCCCAAACAGAAATCAGGTCTGCAGAAATGCAGATGTGATCATCTTGTCAGAAAGATTGGAGCCAGGAAGCTGGGATTAGAAAGATAAAGATCCCTAGAATCAACAATCCCTCACATCAAAAAAAAATCCAACACTCATCAGCCCCAGCCCCAGGGAAGCAGGATATAACCTTTGGGACATAATAGGATTAACCCACCACCATCAGAATACCAGAAAGGCTCGGGTCAAAGTTCATGCCACAGGAACAACTCCAAACAAAAGCCCAAGAAGGTATAAAAACCCACCACCCACTACTACAGGTGGTCAGTTTTTCCCAGAGCCATCTTTCTGTCTGGCTCTTCTCTTCAATAAACTGCAACCTTCTTTCTAAAGCAGTCTCCATTTTGTTTATTCCCAGCTTGGACTGGACCCTGATGAAGATTTTTCTCTCAACATAGTGTAAACATTTTTGGCCATGCCCTTCTGGGACTGTCCTAGTGTCACTAAATAGTTGCCTGCAGTCCTCCCAAAAAAAAACAAAAAACCCCACCACCCACAAGGCTGATTAGTAACCTGTGATCCCCTCAGAAATTAACCACTTCTGACTAGATTCCTAATATTTTGCAAATTGTAGCAATATCTCAATTGCTTGACTCTCCATTGTTTCAAATAGACCTTTATTCCTCCACTAAAAATATTAATGCAACCACTTCAAAACACTTCAAATATGAACACAGCTGCCTGAGTGTCTTAAGTGCTTGGCCTGTTCCTGTTAGAATCTGTTGGATAATACTAATGTTTAGAAGAAATTATTTTCTTCTGGGTTATGTCTACTTACTCTGAGGTACAAACATCCAGATGACTGCTATACAGTATATGCCAACAGAGCAATGTAACAGAAAACTCTTAACTCCTTGCTGTCCACTTAGTAATTATCTGCATTATCTGTCTCTTCTGAATTCAACTCTACAATCATACGCTTGCAAGGATTCATCTTGTTTTAAAGAGGGAGAATAGTGATGCCACCATACATTTCCAAAGACTGAGATGCAGTCTGTGCCAGATCCAACATCTCCCACAATTTAACATATAAGTCTAATGAACTCGGTGCCAAACATGGATATGAATTAAGAGATGGTTAAAATGCAGCACCTGATTCAAGCAGTTCCCCAAAAATTGAAGTGGTTTAAATTTCATCTCATCTTCTAGGCTTGCATTCAGAACTCTACTACAGAATCCCTATATGTGATGTCCATATATGCAAGATTTCCCAGGTGAAGCACAAAAAGCTACCCTGTAAGGCAGATCAGTATTATTATCCCCAGATGGCACATGGAGGGAATTATGTAGTTGAGAGACTTCTAGAGGCCACTGAACTCTAGGCAGGTTACTGGAACTTTGAAATTTTTTTTCTGTTTTTGTTATTGTTGTTCAAATGTTGTCTTGCCTATCATACTAACCTAAAGCAATTTCCAATTGATATAACGATATGTGGGAAAGACTTTGGGAGACAAGGCCATCTAGGGTATGATCAGTTAAAAGAGTGCCTAGCTCACAACTGAATACCCTTCCCACTATCCAGATGTGGCCTATGCAGCCTCTTATCTGACTATTCCCTAGGTCAGGGATAGGCAACCTTGGCTCTTTTATGACTCATGGACTTCAACTCCCAGAATTCCTGAGCCAACTGGCTCAGGAATTCTGGGAGTTGAAGTCCACGAGTCATAAAAGAGCCAAGGTTGCCTACCCATGACGTAGGTCCAGTCTCTTTATTCTGATTCTCAAGGTTTTCCCCACATAGATTACGATCTGAGGATAGTTGTTTGTTTAAAACATAATGATTAACAGTCCACACTGTGGCAAAGTTTATAATTCATTCTCTTTTTTTCTCTCTCTTTAGTTTTTAAAGAGTTTCTATTCATGAGAGTAGACTGCATTCATGGCCCTCCAGCGCTGAGCAAAGATGGAGCTGCTGAAAGGGATGAAGAAACAGAGGAGCTTTGAGAAAGACCGATACAGGTTTGGAAGGTTAATCATCTGCCTATAGGAGTTAGGCACTGCCTCCACCTTGTCACCCTCTCAAGCCTTCAGCTGATCCCTGGATCACATGATGGATTTTTCTGTTACTTTCCAGCCTGATCCTTTCGGGCACACTTCACTGCAGCTCAGCCATGGCCAAGGCAGCTCCACGCACTGTGCTGATTACCGGCTGCTCCTCAGGCATCGGACTGTGCATGGCTGTGCAACTAGCACGGGATCCAGAAAGGCGATTTCATGGTGAGATCAGGGTATCTGAAAGAGGGGGTGGGATAACTGAGACACAATACTCAGAGGACTGGACATTCTGGTCTTTCTAGATGGGGTAAGTTAAAGGAAAAGTGGGATAAAAGGCATGAAAGATTTTTCAGAAAGGGAAAACTAGAGTTGGGGGTGATAGCTAACTGGAGAATTAAACGTATGCAGCCTGGCCCCATCAGTTCCCTTGACTCTCTAAGCTTTTTTCTCAGGATTCTGCGTAACATTTGGTCTGTTCCCCAATACCCATCATGGCACCTTTGTATCCAATGAGCTTTCAGCTCTTCCTTGTCAACTCAGCTCAAGACCACTTTGCCAAAGTTAGCCCAAAGTCAGGAGGCCACTTGAATTCCAATATTATATTCAATCTACTTTCATTTTTTGCATCCTTGCCTTTTTTGACTACTTTGTATGCTGTTGGGTCTTCGGCTTCATGTGCTGCATCCTCTTCATTTCCCCATATTTTTCCATACTGTCACATTAACTGCCCTTTACTCGACAAACTGGCTCGGTGTGATGCAGACTATCTCCAAAGGCTGCTTGTGTAACCAAGCTCAGATGCCAGGAGACTCGGGAATGGTAAGAATGTCACTCAATGCCAACAATTCCCTCTCCTCCAACCTTCCATTCCAGTTCTGCCTTTCTTTCTCTGTCTGCCATAGGAGGTGGCCTTTTAGCAATTTAGCTATTGACAAGTAACTGGGTGATCATGGACACACTGAATCCAATGGGCATCAGGGATGAAAGGCTATACACTTAAGGCAGCAAGCATTCCTTGGGGAAACTTACATTTGTACTGTGCAGTGATAAAAATGTTGAATGCACAACAACAGAGGGCATACTGGATAGAAGTACATGCCACATAGACCAGACATGTCAAACTCACGACATCACGTGATGTCGCGCAACATATCGGGACAGTTTTGCCATTGCCGGCAATGGGGTGGGCACAGCTTCTGCGTGACGCATCCGGCCCACGGGCCGGCACTTTGACACCCGTGACATAGACAAATGATTCAAATATTTCATGGAAGGACTTTTTTGTGGTAAGAAAATAGCTACTGATGAATTGTTTTATTTATTCGTTTATTTATTTATTTATTTTATTCCACCTAATTTTTGTAACTCAAGGTGGCGTACATACCTCATACTCCTTCCTCCTCCTATTTTCCCCCAACAACAACCCTGCGAGAAGGGCTGGGGGGAAAGAGACTGTGACTGGCCCAAAGTTGTCCAGGTAGCTTTCATGCCTAAGGTGGGATTAGAACTCACAGTCTCTTGGTTTCTAGCCTACTGCCTTAACCACTAGACAAAACTACCAATCCTCTGTAATTGTTATATGAGCCTTTACTAAGATGCTTAGCAAGTAATTTTCACAGCTTATACCCCTGTTATATGCACAAGGGATGTTAACAGTACTGGTATTATGTAAAGTCAGCACATGATATACACACATTTATACATTTTTATATATATATAAAATTCATTTCTGGGCTTGCTTCCTAAAGCCAAGCAATCTTTTGAAGCCCGCACATAATCATAAATACCATTGCCAGAGGAATTTAGAATTTCCCATTATTCTTTCCCCCCCCCTCTCATTTACATTCCCCTGGCAGATAATCCATTTCTGTTCCATTAAATTATATGGGAGGAGATGTTAGTTCTTCTGTAATGAGAAGAAAAAGGGGGAAGGGGGCTTAATGGGATATCAGAGAGTCAAGTTATGGGTTGGCTGCATGAATAAGAGTAATGTCACAGCAAAGACAGTAGAAGAAAACTTATTGCAATATTTAAAGTCATTTTTCTTCAACTATGAGAACTAGAAACTAAATTAAATTTAAAAGGGGGGGCTTAGAATGATAGAGTTCTGTTGCATGATGATAAATCAGAATCTACATTTCAGTATTGTTGTGAAGACTAAACTACAAAGATGTAACAACTATTATTTAAAATTCAGAGGAATGTGAATCAAGACATATACAATTAATCTCACTTCCAGAGAAACTCATTGACTGGCTCTAGGCATTGAGTCTAATCAGCCTCATCTTTTACTATCAACATGGAATGGGAATATAAGATATTTGGTTAGACCAGGGGTAGGCAGCCTTGGCTCTTTTATGACTCGTGGACTTCAACTCCCAGAATTCCTGAGCCAGCCATGCTGAGGGGAAAGGGAGAGGTTTCCAAGCGGAGCCATGCTGGCTCAGGAATTCTGGGAGTTGAAGTCCACAAGTTATAAAAGAGCCAAGGTTGCCTACCCCTGGGTTAGACTATACGCCTTTTTAGGTCATTTGTGCTTAGCAGATCCCAGAAAAACACAAGAAGTATCCCAGAAAGACATTGAAAATACAAACTAGGGAAGGTGCCCCAGTTGCCACTTCTAGCCAAAGGATGGTATCTTATCCCTTCTTTGTTCTTTTTTTCTTGAAAGATAGATGCCCTTTCTGGCTGCTTGCAGATACCTATCCTTTCTTTTTTTCCAAAATGCCTCTTCAGCCTATATGGATGGGCCCAAGAACTTCCCGTAAAGAAAGAAGTTACTACTTTCCAGTTATTCAGCTTTATTTCAATTAAATACTTTAAAAAAAATTCAAAGCCAAGGAGACGTTAGCAGTTACACTGGGGGCTTAATTATAATGGGTATTCCCCCCCTGTCTCCCCCTCTATATGTTCAAGTATATCATGTACAGAAAGTTATTTTTTTTATAACTTCTTATACATGAACACATACTTATAATTATTGTCTCAAAAGAGGGCATGCAGGTAAATTTATACAGAAAATCTAGAGAAACAGAAGGGAGGGAGGAAGAATGGATCTTATACTGTTCACACTCTTTGCAACGAACGATCTCTTCTCTGCCTACAACACACCGGCATACACCACATGTACAGAGTTCACCCTCAAAGAAGAGATTAGACACAGAGGGATTTGGCATCTTGACCCTTAAGAAGCTTACAAAGCATGAATCCTCAATTACCCTGCTGAACCCTGGCCAAGAGCCAATATTTGAGCAGCCCTTCTGGACTTTGATTGGCTGATACTGTCTGTTGCACAACACAACAGAAGAGAGCTCTCTGAATAACCAGCATCCCAGCCCTTTGGCTCCTTGTAGCTTCCAGTCTTTGCTGTCACCTCCCCAAGAAAGTATTGAGGAGCTGTACTTAAAATACTCAGATGGATTATCATTACAGGTAGTCCTCGACTTATGACTACAGTTGAGCCCAATATTTACATTGCTAAGTGAGACATTGGTTAAGTGAGCCTTGCCTCATTTTACGACCTTTCTCGCCATTAAACTGTTAAGTGAATCACTCCAGCTGTTAAGTCAGTAACACAGTTGCTAAGTGGCCTCCCCACTGATTTTGCTTCTCAGAAGATTGGAAAAGGTTGCAACGGTCGTAAGTATGAGTCGGTTGCCAAGCATCTGAATTTTGATCACGTGACCATGGGGAGGCTGCGATGACCGTAAGTGTGAAAATCAGTCCTAAGTCACTTTTTTTCGGTGCCGCTGTAACTTCAAACGGTCACTAAACGAACTGTTGTAAGTCAAGGTCTTCCTGTATTTGTCATAATAATTGTGCTGGAACTCTCTTTTGGACTTCCAAATACCAAGACAGTGTAATATGTGAACCGTGCATCCTAGTAAGCAGGCAAGGAGAAAGATAGAAACATTTAAGGAGCGGTTGCTGGAATTGGGTATGTCTAGTTTAATGAAGAGAAGGACGAGGGGGGACATGATAGCAGTGTTCCAGTATCTCAGGGGCTGCCACAAAGAAGAGGGAGTCAAGCTATTTTCCAAAGCGCCTGACGGCAGGACAAGAAGCAACGGGTGGAAACTAATCAAGGAGAGAAGCAACCTAGAACTAAGGAGAAACTTCTTGACAGTTAGAACAATTAACCAGTGGAACAACCTGCCTCCAGAAGCGGTGAATGCTCCAACACTGGAAGTTTTTAAGAAGAGACTGGACAGCCATTTGTCGGAAATGGTGTAGGGTTTCCTGCCTGAGCAGGGGGTTGGACTAGATGACCTCCAAGGCCCCTTCCAACTTTATTATTATTATTATTATTATTATTATTATTATTATTATTATTATTATTATTATTATTATTATTACTACTACTACTACTACTATTACTACTACTACTACTACTACTACTATCAGACAGCCACACAATCTCGGTCAGCTTTTTTTAGTTAAGGCTATATAACTATGGAGACTTAGGAAAATTACCAATGCTGCATTCCAAGCACATTTCCAAGCAATGGCTAATATATGCAAGCGTACTGGGTTAATTTTTTCATCATTTTCATCACGTTCAGCGTCATTGTTACTATTTTCTTTAAGTTATTTTACATGTCTTAATAGATAAATAATTCTGACATTCCTTGTATAAAGGTTTCTTCCTGTCCGCTTTTTAAAGTCTCAGCCTCTTCCCCCCCCCCATCCATAGAATGAGCAACTTGCATTTAAGCTCTTTCTTCCTTCTAGTCATTGCCACAATGCGTGACCTGCGCAAAAAGGACAAGCTGGAGTCAGCAGCGGGGGACACACTCAACCAGACCCTCACCATTCAGCGCCTTGATGTCTGTAGTGATGAATCTGTAGCTGAATGCATTAACAGCCTTCCTGAGAAGCAGCTGGATGTGTTAGGTAGGTGTTCTGGAGGACAGGTTTTCTAAATAGGCTGTGGGTTACTCACATTTATGATGCAAAGCCAAAGGGAATTGTACTTGATATTAAATTATGCTGATGCATGCAAGTTCCATAATTTCAGAGTGGCTGTGCTATAGCACTCATATGCCATGAGTACGAAGGGATAACAATATGTCACAGCTGTACTGATGATCAAAAATACAATCTGTCGGTCATCAGGTTGAGAAAGGTTGTTCTAAACCAGGAATTTGGGGCAGGACCCATCCCAGCTTTCCTTCCTCCTGAGAGCTGGTGCAATGCAGAGCAATACTCAAAGCAATCTTTCTCAGCCTGAGCAACTTTAGGACCTGTGGACTTCGACTCCCAGAATTCCCCACCCAGTATGCATTCTGGGAGTTGAAGTCCGCATGTCTTAAAGTTGCTCAGGCTGAGAAAGATTGCTTTGAGTATTGCACTGCATTGCACCAGTTCTCAGGAGGAAGGAAAGCTGGGATGGGTCCTGCCCCAAATTCCTTCCAACCAAACAGCACCCCCAAAAGGTTTATTTGATGGGTTTTGTATTTCTGTCTGAGGAGTTCTTGGTGCATTTCTGTTTTTCAAAATCCTAGCTCAAACTCAAATCCTGGAGCTTTCCTTATTGGGCTTGAGTGAAGGGAATGCTGGATTGGAAATTTCATAATTCCCCCTTCCTCTAAGGCTAGGCCTGATCCCTAATTCTTGTTTCCCCTTCTGTACTTGAGAATTGGCCTCTTCCCAGGGTGACTTGAGCCTCTTGGCTCCAAGGTGAGATGGAAGTGGTGTTAGATAACATCAGCTGTTAATATTTCTGTCAGTTTATTCCAAGTCTTTTACATATAATATTCTCCATGTGATACACAGTAGAGGATCCAGAATCCTGTAATAACTTTAAAACAGATGTTTTGAAACATCTTTTTTTTCTCCACCTACTTTTCGAGATTGTGATGGTTTATGGCCAAGACAATATTAGCTTTCCAAATGCACAAAGATTGTATTGCGTGCATGCATGCAACCAAATTGCCAAATTCCAACTGACTTCCACACTGGGAGCGAACTCTTGAGATACAATGAGTAGACTAAAATACTAGCATTGCATATTTCCAATTGACTTTAGGAACAATGCCTTTGGGCCTCAGAATTAAAGCCATATTTTTTGTATCACCAATCAACATAGATTGCACATAAATATGACCCGAAGTATTCTCATCCCTACAGCCAAATTACTGCATGTAAAATAGTTCACAGAATGCCCTAAAAAAACAAAGTAAGGAAAAGGTCATGGGTTCTGGAATTCTTTCTTTTATATATATATAAAATACATTTATATTAGTTTATCAAAGTATAAAATACAAAGAGAAATTTTAAAAAGCAATAGAAAACTGGGGAGAGGGAAAAAGAAAAAAAGAGAAAATATGGAGTAAAGAGGGAAAAGGAAAGAAAAAGGCCCCAACTTCCAACACTCCTTAGCACAATAGAAGATAACAACCTCAGCTTTTTACTTTTACACAACAGTATATACTAACCATCTCTATAGCAACAAACCTATCTAATCAGCAAAAACAAAATCAAAGTTTCATTTTTTTTTCCTACTGCAAGCACAGAATCAATTCCCAAACAGAAACAAAATTAAATATATTCTCTTCTTTGGATAAAAGAGCCGATTTAACCATCTCTGCTTCTCCTTGGTTCTGGAATTTTTTCAAAACCCTTTAGCACAAGGGCCTGCATTTCTTTCTCTTTAATATAGTTGCGTGTGTTTGTGTGCATGTGTATTGTCCATCTCGCAAATGTGAGTCTAAAAACACACTGTTACAATACAGGGAGTCCTCAATTGGGACCAGAATTTTTGTTGCTAAGCAATATGGTCATTAAATGAGTCTTCATGTCTCCAAACCTGAATTTACGACTTTTGTGCCATGGTCATTAAGGGAATCTGGATTCCCCTTTTAACTTGGCTCTTTGGAAGCCACCGGCGAAGTCACAAACGGCAGTCATAAATACAGACCATTTGTCAAGTGCTCAAATTGTGATTGCGTGACCGTGGTGATGGTCGTAAGTGTGAAGACTGATTGTAAGTCATTTTTTTCGGTGCTGTTGTAACTTTGAAAATGGACATTAGCTGAGGACTACATGTAAAAAACAATCATGGGCAGATGATGTGCCTGTGTGTGTGTGTGTGTGTGTCTGAGGCTCCTTTACATAGTGTAATATTTTGTTGGGGTGGAAAGAATAAAATCCCAGAATTAATATCAAGTTCAAAAGAATTGAATAACTTTCTATAACTGGATGCCTTTCAGACATGTGGACCACAAGTCCTAACCTCCAACATGGCCAAAGCAAATTCTATTCCAATGCATCTACAAGATATTGGACTGGGAATGCCTAAAATACTTGATTATCTAGAAACAGCCTTCTCCCAAGTAATAGAGGCAGTATGGTACATATTTAGATTGCAGACTGGAGAGACACAGTCAGTCATGAATTGGGAGAGGGAAAAAGCATTGGTATGCTCCTTCTTATATTCCTGGAGGAAAGTCAGGAAATATATCCAATTTTTTATTTTTTTTAAAAAAAACCTCATTCAATTACCTACTAAATTAACTGGAATAGATTTCCTCTTTTCTTTGGGGGAATGTCTAGGCAATTCTCATTTTGTTTTTTTAATTAGTTTTTATTCAGTGTTGCATGGTTGACATTTTTCATTATTTTAGAAGGAACGTAATTTAAAAGCAGGCATACTTCTTTCAAATGAGATAAAAATGTGTCTAGAGGAAAAAAAAGAGGTAGGGGGGTACTTCAGTTGAGAGATTCCTAATCCAGGCACTGAGATATGAAGATTCGCCCCGTGAAGGGAAAATTTATGTTTCCATCTTTCTAGATGTGTAATTTGTAAAAACATTCAGAATTTACCTTGGGGAAGGTATGAGAAAGCCAGGGAGGGAGGGAGGGAGGGAGGAAGGTGAAAGGAAGGAAGGAAGGAAGGAAGGAAGGAAGGAAGGAAGGAAGGAAGGAAGGAAGGAAGGAAGGAAGGAAGGAAGGAAGGAGCAAGCCATTAGAGTATGGGTGTCAAACTCGCCACATCACGTGACGTGTCATGACGTATCACAACTTTTTTCACATTGCTGGAGCTGGAGTGGGCGCGGCCTTTGCATGATGCAACCAGCCCGTGGGCCGGCAGTTTGACACCCCTGCATTAGTGGGACTTAGAAAAGAGATTACATAGTCCACTGATAAAATGACATGTCAGAAAGATAGTCAAAATAACCCCATTTTGATTATGTTAGTATAAAATGGAGCAGAGAGAATTTTCAAGACTTAATGTTAATATGCCCTACAGCAATAAAGAAGCATTTATGGAATCCCTACAATGTAGCTTCTTGACCTACGTATCTCAAAGGGTTATTTCAATTCTCAACCAGTGCTTTGGCCATGCTTGTGATAACTAGCCTTCTATTGCATTGGCTAGGCCCAACCACAGAGTTGCTTCCACATAGCAGTCACTTTGCTTCCCATTGAGAGAGTCCGGTCCTTAGTGGCAACACGTGAGCTTTGATTACAAAATGTCCCACGGCAATCCTATGGAGGAAAACCCCCCTTTTCCTAGGAATAGCCAGTCCATTCCTCTTATAAAAGAAATGAGAGCTGTTGCTAGAGCATTTGGAAGAAGAAGAAGAAGAAGAAGAAGAAGAAGAAGAAGAAGAAGAAGAAGAAGAAGAAGAAGAAGAAGAAGAAGAAGAAGAAGAAGAAGAAGAAGAAGAAGAAGAAGAAGAAGAAGAAGAAGAAGAAGAAGAAGAAGAAGAAGAAGAAGAAGAAGAAGAAGAAGAAGAAGAAGAAGAAGAAGAAGAAGAA